ATATAAGACTCTGTCTTGCCAGCAGATTCATTCTAGAATCTTTCCATTGCTGGCTTTCAGGAAGCAAGCTGCCACGAATCCTACAACCACAAAGAAATTCCACAAACAATATGAGTGAGCTTGGAGGTGAACTCTTTCCCAGTTAAGCGTTCAGATGAACACTCAGCTCTGCCAACACCTTGACAGCAAACTTGCAGAGGACCCAGTTAAGCTATGCCTGTGCTCCTGATGCATAGAAACTGTGAGATAATAAATGTGTTGTTTTAACTAGTAAGTTCAGGGCAATTTGTTACACAGCAATAGGAAACTAATACAGAAGTAATTTGCCTTCCCTATCATATTGGTAGTGGGCTCCTTTGCTCAGCTCTTCCCTTCCCATCAGTATTGTTAAACTTCCACTTCCGACCATGTATAATGAGACTTCTTTTACTCAAGTAGTACCAGTATCGCCATAAATAATAACTCAACAGATGTTGAGCTCTCTTCCTTTCTAATGAACACAACAACCATTTATATTTTACATTTTAATCATAGCTCTGTAATATTTAGAGAGCTGGTAAAACTTAGCAAATCCATGGAGTACACATACCCAAACTTGCTCTTCCATGATCTGGTAAAGCCTCAAACACAAATCACTTACCAAGGCACATAACATGGAGAGCATGGCTCAGACATTTCCCTGTTCTTAACTTTTCTCATCTTTATAATAGGTATGAGCCTGGCGGCAAGCCTGACCTTTTTTTTCTTTTTTTCATGTTCTTTCCCGGGTCCCAGTGTCTGAACTGGGAAGACATTTCCAGTGAAAGGAACAGAGAGTAATTTTAAAGTATATTTAATGTAAAGAATGCAAACAGGAGAGCCAACTAATGGTGCTCTGATGTAACCATTGGGGTAATACCAGCCATCAAAACTATTACATGAGAATGCCTTTACCATGAGTAAGTCAACAGGGAGCCGAATCAATCCTTGACACAGCAGACAGAAAGTTTCCCATTCACCTTTTATCATCCTCTGCCCAATCTGCTCTGTCTTTGTAGGCCTACATTTTAATAAATACCTTCTTGGTCATCTTTTAAAACTAAGACTTGGGTCCCTGCCAGCTTCTAGTTAAAAGCATTCACAATTACTTCTTTCTTAAAAAAAAAAAAAACTCTCCAATAAGGACTGTTAACAACATTTAGCTTTGTATCAACTTAACGCCATTCTATTATTTTCTTTAATATAAAGACAATCATTTTCTTAAAGAACAAACCAAAGAAACAACAAAAAAGCATTTTAAGTTTTAATTCACTAGAGTCCACTTCTGAAACATTATAATGCTCTCTTTCCAGTTTTTTCTATCACATTTTCATTACTTTTATAATCAGAAGGAAAACATTTCAAGTAAAGTTTTCATCTAAGTAAAAAATGAAAAATTTTGTCTCTATAACATCCTATACAAGAAAAGAACATTGGTGTCCTCGTCTTGGCTCTGGTGTTAAGCTGTTCATTTGACCTTGAGTAAGCAAGTTAACCTCTCTAGGTTGCCTGTCAAATGTGGAAGCGGATGATCTCAAGTACAAAGGGTCTTTCCTCCCTACTCAAACAGTCTACAATGATGGGACATGAATTTTCAGAACTTTCCAAAGGTCATTCTAGACCGATAACTGTGGTAGCCTGGATCTGAATCTCTGAATACCCACACAAAAATAGACAGAGAATCTACATAGCAAAACCCAATGCTTGGAGACAAGGCAGCCTCTTGAACCACAAAGTACAAGCAAGTAGGGGCAAACCAACAGCATCCACAAGTCCTGAATGGTTTCTGTGTGGGCGGAAGCACAGGGAAGCAACAAGGGTGATGGGCCTGAGAACTGGAAAACCCCAAAATAACCAGTAAATCTTCACAGGAAAGTAGGGAGGGCCAATTGGAGAACAGTGGCTAAAACTGGAGGGGTTTTTCCTGAGCCAAGAGTGAGTGAGCAAGGGGCCCACAGTAAGATCTGAAGGGGCTAAAAGCAGCTAGTCCCTATGAAACTTCCAAGATGGTCCCAGGACTCCTTGCCAAGAGGAGAAGCTGCTGGTAGTAGGATCAAAATTGAACAGGATGGGGGTCATAGAGACAAAGGCAAAGAACAGATCCAGGGAGAGGCAGATGGGGGGAACAGAGCCAGGAAGCGTCAGAAAGTAGGCTCCCATATTTGTGAAAACATGAAAACAACACAAGACTAATAAGCTCTATGAACTTAAAAAAGCCACCTTCAACTCTGTCTCCTAAAAGTTCAAAGAAATTATTTTTCACATAAAAATGAAAAACAGAAAAGTATTGAGGTCAAATTCCACATAAAGTTATAAGAAAGAAGAAAAGAGCAGAATAACATCCCCATAAATCATGAAAGCATACCACAAAATAGAACCTTCCCCACCCCACCCTCCAAAAAAGCACAAAACAATAGACTACTATTTCAAAATAAGCTAAAAGACTTCAAGGAGATGAAATGACATAAAGCATGAAAGACCATAATTCAGAACATATAAAACTCAGAAAGAAGGTAATAGAACACACACACAAAAGAAATAAAATTTTAAAAATGCATTTCAGAAATAAAGACTAAACCAGAAGGTACACAAGAGGGAATAAATATGACACACAAGCTCCAAGAAAAACAGAAGATGGAAAATAAGAAAAACAAAGGGAAAGGGAGAGATTTGAGACAGTGACAGATACTGAAGACAGGCAAAGAAGGTCTAAGATACAAATAATAAGCATTCTTGAAGAAAACAAAAGCAAGGAAAAAACAATATTAAATACTATAATTAAAAACAAACTTCTCTGAAAAAAAAAAGATTATAAAATATAATCTAAAGAAAACACAGCAAACATGAGAATACCAAACCAGAATGACCAAGAATAAGAGTTACTCTAGTAAAATTACTGGAAGAAATAAAAAAAAGGAAGGAAGGGAGGAAGAAGGGGAGGAAGGGAAGGGAGGGAAGGAAGGAAGGGAGAAAGAGAGAAAGAAAGAGCAAGCAAGAAAAAAAATGCTATGAATGTCTAAAGTACAAGTCTTGTGAGGGAAAGAATGGTGTATTACCAACAGACTTTGAGAGCAACACTCTATGCCAAAAGAGAATAAAGAAACATATTCAAGCAAAGAAAAGCTGAGTCAAAGGTTTTATATCCAGCAAAAATGTTTTTCAAGTACGAAGGGCAGAGACGTACTGCTATTAACAAGTAAGAACTTAGTGAAGATTATTCCCTTGAGTCCTCCTCGAGGAAATCTACCAGAGAATGAGCTGCAGGCAATAAACAAACAAATAAACAGAGGGACACTGACATAAAGACCATAGTAAACATCAAGTATATAGTTTACTTGTAGAAGACTAAATGAGGACTGAAGAGGGGAGAGTGTGAGATGTGCTGGCCATATGGTGAGGCAGTGTGGACACAGTATAACTACAAAAAAGTGGGGGAATGAGGAAAGCGTAATGCAAAACCACCTTACAAATTCTTCTCAGTAACTCTTATGGCAGTATTAACATTATTATTTTGGGACTATTTGCATATAATATGGGATGAAGCAAATAAGTAATTATGGACTATTCTAATTCAACCATCCTCTGTTAACTTAAGAATCAAGATTTTTAGTGTGAAAGAAAAGTGATACAAATAAAAAACAGAAGCTAAGTAAAAAATACCCAGTAGTCTGAATTTAAATTAGAGAAACCAGTATGAGCTCCTGTGGTATTTTATCTTAAAATTTACACATACATACATAATGTAGATAAATAAAAAAGTAAATGAAGAATTTCCTGGCTATGTCTACGAAAGAGGCCTAAAAACAATGACCAACAAGAAGCAATAAGCACCTTGGCACCCAGATTGTGATCCTGAAATACCATTTTCTGTTGAGAGAAACGAGGACTACTTGGAGAGTGTTTAATTGTAGATTTGGGGCAAGAAATGTACCAGATGAGCCTAGAATAACTACTAGGCTCATGTCAAAAGTATCAGGAGCCAACATGAAGAGGTTCTTAACCAGACAAAGATAGTATACCTTGAGTTCCCACAAGGAAAATAATTACAAGGGACTGAAACCCAAATACGTTTAAATCCATAAGTTCATAATATTTAACAAAATAATTGAACAGTTTCAGAGGATCACAGGAAATCAATTCATTATCTTGAAAAACATTAAATGGAAAGAATGAAGCACTAATTCTGCTTTTCCTCTGTGAACTATACCATTGTTTTAACAAATCATAAATGATGGGAAATGTCTCCATAAAAATACTCCAATTAATAACTGAGAACTGGTAGAAATGGTAGAACTAAAATATCATAGTTCTGTAAGTCTTGATGAATCAGTGAACTTAAGCAGGGAGTAACAAGATAGCTGGTAACATCTCAGAATGCAAGCCCACCAGATACTATGTGCTTCCCAGTGAAAAAAATAAACGCCCTCTACAGTCTTGCCAAAGGGACTGGCTATGACTCTGACTGAGCCTCTGGATCCAGGGCCATTCTGCAGGAAATACAGGGCACAGAGGAACACGCTGAACTGCACCCCGGGTGAGCAACCAGCAACATCCGGACTGTGGGAAACTCTACAGGTCAAATGGCCAGGTTTAAAAGAATAAGTATGAAGCCAACAAACAACAGAGGAAAATCCTGTGGATGAAGAGATTCCAAGGAAATGCACGGCTCTTAAACGGGCAAGATTAAACTCTACTGTCTAGGGACATACAAACTCCAGTAATAAACTGTAAAGAAACAGGAAATGTGACGATAAAAGTCATGGTAGCAGTCGCCTTGGTGGGCGGGAAAGTGGGATTGAGACGGGACGTAAGGAAGGACTTCTGGGGTGACTGGCAAGTTCTAATTCTTGACCTGGACAGTGGTTATGAGAATGTTTGCTCATTAAGCTGTAATTTGTTTTGTGGGGATTTCCATAGTTACGTTTCACCTTAAGAAACTTTTTTTAAGGTAAAAAAAAAATAACCCTTTCCAGACCCCTCACCTGTGCCTTGGCCAGTTTCTTTTCCAGGAGGTCCCGTTCCCGCTCCGTTTGCTGCAGACGTTGATTAAGCTCTACTATGTCTCCTCTGAGCGATGCCAGGGCTGCCAAGTGGAGCTGCAGTGACAGAAAGAAGGAGCACAAGGTTAGACCCCTCAGCAGAAACTCATTTCCGCCCCTTCATTCCCTGTAATTAGTGTGATCACATAAAAAAGGCATCATCTAAAATGGGGCACCTTGGGTGACATTAATCTCAGGAGACAATGGACATAAATCAGGTGTCTTACAGGCGAGCTGGGTACCATGGTCACCCTAAATATGTATCAGGGAGAAAACTGTTATGTGTGGGCAGTAGGACCGAATTTTGCATCATCGTCAGATTAAAACAGAGAGCAAAGCTCATTCTAAGGACTTTCCCCAAGTTACCTCAGCAAGGATGGGATTAAGAGCTGGTGTGAACTGCCTGATTCTCAAGAAGCAAGGAAAAGGCAGGACCAAATTAGCTTTCACCTTTGGGAAAACATGCAAGTTGAATGGGGCAATTCAAATTTTTTTTCCCCCAGTTCAAACACCCATATTGCTTCATGTTCAGACAAACCAAGGGGCTGAATATTAAGAAAAAAGTGGGAGGGCTCATTGTTTCAGATGCTCTCCTCCTCAAGTTGACCCATTCATTTTCTTGCCAGCTCCTCCTTCTTCATTGTCCCCTAGACTAGACTGACCAGACACTGCTTCTGTGCTAGCGTGCCTCTCAGAAGCAGAGCCAGAACTCTGTAAAATGCTGTGAAAAGATAAACCAAGAATCCATTGCTATATCCTTCCTTAGTCAGCTCTCCCAGCTTAACTGGAGCTAGAGAGAACATTCGTCAGTGGATCAACAAAATGGACCACACACTTCTAGGATCTCAACCTGCTCAACCTTCATGTTCTGTGCACTGAGCTTCAGCTGCACACACACCTACTACACACGTGCCCGCTGTGGATTTGCAGGCTGATAGCTGGGACCATCTTTAAGATCTGTTCAACCATGGCTCCCGCAGCAGCACCTTCCAACCTTCTCTGCCCTGACTCACTACTTCTCACCCGTCTTCACTGTCAGTCCCAGGGGGAGCTCAGACCATCCCCTAGCTCAATTTCACACTGCACTTGAGTGAGTGACTGGAATCCAAGCAAACCCTTCCTCTGTAGGGTTTTTTGTAGCTTCTGCCAAGAGGGACTTAAAGTAAGGGGTGAACAAATAAAAGTGATCTTTGAAGATGGACACAGTAAAATGGCACGCAATTCCTCTTTGAGGATTTTAACTTCAGGTTTTGAAAAATGTTCTTTTCTGCAACCTGCGCCTCCACACTGTACGGCTGCTGGGAGGCTGAGGGAGGGTGAGCAGGTGAGGAGGCACAGGGCAGGGGCCGGTGGTTCCCAGCAGTTGTTTGTTAGACTGTAACAGCAGTGAATGAGACTTCACTTACTGGCATTGGGACTGCAAACCAACAGATCAATAGCCGATCTGAAATCAGGAATGTTTGAAATTTAAAAAAGGAAATGTCAGGCAATCTGGTGGTATTTGCCTTCTCAGGTAGGGCTAGGGCTGCTCAGAAAAAGGTCACTTTGGGTTTCAGACACAGGGTTTGGGTGATGAACTCTCAGCACAAATACCACAGTGTTCCCACTGCATGCTCTTTGGAGGCAGCTTTGCTCCCAATGTGGGTAAGAGGAACACAGATTCACTCCCTGAGGCAGCTGAGTTGCCCTCACTGCCTCTCTACTGTCAATCTGAGGATTTTCCTTCAGCGTCAGACACTGTAGTCTGTTACGTTCAGACTTGGGAGAAAAGTCACCACCTACTGCTGGTGAGAAGGATAAAATACGTGGAGAGCTGACATGTTCTTTAAGAAATAGAGGAGGGGAAACAAGGATCCCATCTGTGTGAGCCTAGATGCGCCTCCTCTCTCAGATATCGCCCCTCCTACTCCTGGGGGAAAGGCTGACAGAGGAGGCTGCACACTCCACACTGACTTGGTGAACCTGGCCAGTTGGGGAGACACACAGAGGTCATTGCCATCACAGTCCACGGCAGAGGAGGGTCAGGAAGGGTCACTGCTGTGGAGGAGAGCACCACTCTCTCCAGACTGTGGGAGGCTCCATCAATGTGCATGTGGGGCAGGTGCCTTCTTGTCCCCGGGGAAGATGCCTGCCCTGAAGGAATGGATCAGTTATCTTAACGTCAAGATTTCTTAAAAATCTCACGAATGTGATGGGCCCTTCTCCTAGAGAAGAGTATATATTTGGGGTTTATGCATGCGTTACATATAATCAAGTCGATGACACACTCTGGAATCTATCTGTGAACTCTGAATTATGAACTATCTGGACTAGACGCCAGCCTGGGGAATCCCACCTAAGTTCTGTAGACTGAGTCATGGGTCATAATCACGGTGTCTGGGTGGAGACAAGGCCCTTGGTACATGACACTTCTCACTTCCACATGCGCAGGTCAGGATCGAAAACTCAGAGACTGACTTGCTTACTCCAGGTCCCACAGAGAGCTCAGCACCAGAACCAAGGCCACCGTTACCTTTCCTCACTATACAGTGTTGTATGTGACAGTAATTTTCAAGTTTTTTTTTTAACGTGAATGAAAACTTATTTCCCTCTGAACGTAAAAGTAATGAAAATGTAACACAAAAATTAACTGGAAAGACAGCATTCTAACATTTTGGTAGTGGCCTCTGGGTGGTTTCAAACATCTTTGGGATACTTTTTGTTTAATAAGGGTTTTTTTGTTTTTTTTAAAAAAACAGGTTTTTGTGTTAAGGAACCAAGAGCTGTGACAGTGTTTTCTGCAGGTGAAGTCTGTAGCATAAAAGGGTTATTTTCCTTCCCTGCTGCATCTTCTTTCCATATCCACCAGCTCTCTTGATAGAAGGCAAACTCTTGGTTCCTGAACACAAAAGCCTTTTTTATCAGCACCACACTCTAACCAACTCAGCTAACCGGCCAGTTGGTACAAAAGCCTTTTTGATGGAGGTCATATCGATTTTCTCTTCCTCCAGTCTTGCTGCTGGGACAATGATGTGATGGATGGAGCTCCAGCAGCCATCTTGCTTCATAAAGTTGTGGTCCACACTCTAGGAAGTGGAAGATGCCTGAACCCCTAATAACTTTGTTAAGCCACCCTATCAGTTTTGGACACCCTAACCCCAGACTTCCTTCTGTAACAGAATAGCAAGAACAGACTTCTGTTGTATAGACCATTATTATGTTGAGATACTCTGGCAAATGAAATTGATCTAATCCTAATTCATAAAGAATCAGATAAACCTGGGTTCATATCTCATTTGTGCTGCTTGTTGGTGAATTGTCTTTGGACAGTTTATTTAATCGGTCTGTTACAGGGCTGTTGTAAAGGCAAAATGAGACGGCATTAATAAAATGACCAGCACAGTGTCTGAAACCGAGTAATCACTAAACAAAGGTGCATTTCCTCTTTCCCAGGCAAGTTTTCAGTCAGCACCTTTCAAGTCAACAAACTTCTCAGGTGAAGCCTCATTAGAGGTAGTGAGAGACACTTTCAGATGAGTAAGTAACACAGTCCTGTCTTGGAGCAGCACATCTCCTGGTGGTTAACAGCACAGGAATGAGAGGCCAGAGCTGTCTTGCAGGATTCTGCTGAACTCCCAAGCCTTAAGGAGCTGACCGTCAAGGCTCTTAATTCTCTGCGAAATTTTAACCTGAGGCCTCAGTGAGGCTGGGATGGGACCAGGACACTTCCTATACAATTTTAGGTCTAGCACGTGAAGGATATAAATCCACACATACCTCATATTCCTGGAGATAAAAGGTACTAATTCCCTAGGCTGTTTTGAGCCCGGCTTCACATTCATTTTACACTGTGCATCAAAACAAAAGTAAACCGCCTGGGAATTTGGCTTCAAGACAACTGTCAAAATGGTTGTTATTTTTGGATGAAACATTACTTGACTAATATTTCACAGTTCAGCTGGCTGTAAGAACAAGCTCGCTTAGCCTCTGACAGATCAGGTGTCCAGTCTGAGTGAGGAGCGAGCAGGGCCTTTGTGACAGCCTTTCCTGCTGGTTCCCCCTGGGCTACATGGATAAATGGGCCTCCAGTTACCTATTAGCCAGGAGACAGAGGGCTTCGCACTAAGATGCCCTTTTAAGCCAGCAGCCCAGTGACTCTGAGGACCCTCCAGGAGCATCACTGTGTATTCCTGGTTATAAGGTGCTTCCTCATCTTGCTACTGCTGCAGTAAAAACAGCAAACACATGCCGGCCCTGTCCTGATCACCAGGCACCCTCCCACGCATCATCTCACTGGTCTCCATCACGCCACAGCTCTGGGGCCTACAGCAACGTGACGAATCCCAGTTCGCCGAGGGACAGGTACTCTTTCCAAGGACCACAGCTGGTGAGGGGGACCCAGGACCGGAATCCAGGCTGTCAAACTCTAGGTCCACCACTTTACTCATCTTTCTGAGACTTGGGTCTACTCTTTCACAACAGTGTCTTCAAAGGGACCAAAGGTTTCCACAGTTACACCTGAAATGGAGGAAAGAGTACATCCCCAGGCCTCTATCCAGAGACAGGGACCACGGAGCATTCACGGTGTGATGGCTGAGTGGGCCCTCCCCGCTTTGTTGGCGGGTGAGCTCGCGCAGAGCAAACTGTGCTTGCTCTTTCTCCCTGCTTTCCTGGGTCTGAACACCTGAGGCGCTCCAGTATGCCATTCTCTGCCAGGGTACCTTTATTTCCTTCCCATCAGTGATGATGGGAAGGTCCATCTCGTCCTTCTAACTGGGCCACTTGCCTCCAGCGACAGGGTACATGCAGTTTTTGCTTATGGTTGAGTGATGACAGTGGGTATTGCCAACTTCTCTCACCTGATGAACTGTTCTCTTCATTAAAGGGGAAGAAGTGAGTGCAGCTGAACACATTTCTTTTTTTCCTCTTTTTTTTTGAAGTATAGTCAATTTACAATGTTATGTTAATTTCTGATGTACAGCATAGCAATTCATTTATATATATATACATATTCCTTTTCATATTCTTTTTCAGCACAGGCTATTACAAGATATTGAATATAGTTCCCTGTGCTGTAC